GGGTCTGCATCAGCTTGCTTTCGGTATTGATGTTACTTCTGCACCATTTCGCAAGCTGTCTCATGCGTTGTTTCACCTCCGGCCTGCTCATGCACCGCCTGAGACGTCCTGGTCTTTGGATAGGGTTCTCTCGTATCTCTCTTCTCGGTTTGCTGTGGCCTGCTTTGGTTCCGGATTGTTTTTCAAAGGCTCTTTTCCTGTTGGCATTGGCCTCTGGGGGTCGGGTCAGGGAGCTTCATGCTCTCCTCCAGTGCAGGTGTTTCTGCTTTTTCGGTCATGGTGATAGTTTTGTTCATCTGCAGCCGTCTCCTTCTTTTCTGGCAAAGAATGAGACTGCTGCTTTCTGGAGGGGTCCTCGGGTTGTTGATGCTTGGTTGGTCAGGCTTAGGGTGTATCATGTGTTGTCCGGTTGCGGCCCTCTGCCGCACCATAGTGCGCCATTATTTGCGCACCATGGCTTCTGTGTCCAAGAACGCGCTTTGAGTTGATCTGGTTTCCCCTTCTTCCTTGTTCGCGGGTACGAGTCTTTCAGGTCGTCCACAGGATTATGAAGTCTAGCCAGCCTACGGTCTATCCCTGTGCTCTGGTCGAACTGGGTCTTGGCTGCATGCTACCTCGTTAATGCTCCTGGGCCTAGTCGGTCCTGTGTTGCTTAGGGTCGGCGGCTGCAGCCTGTCTCAACTTCGAATTGAGGTGTGGAGCACTGACCGCCTCCTGGTTGTCAGGTTGGGGAGCACCATTCTCTCAGGCGGCAGGGTTTTTCTTCCTTTGGCTGCCTTGGTGGGCATTTTGTGCCTTTGCAGCTCGTTGTTTCTTTTCTGGCAAAGAACGAGGTGGTTAGCTCCTGGAGGTACTCGCTTCGGCAGTACATATACTAAAAGCTCCTGGAGTGGGCCTTTGGTTGCTGATGCTTGGTTAGCTTTTATGGAGGTGCATCATGTGTTTATCCATAGTGGTTGCTCTCTGCCGCTACCTTTATTACACTACTTCTACTTTGATGGATGTTTTGTGGATTGATTCTATTTCCTTGGTCTCCTTTTCCAAATTTCGTATTTCCCAGGGCATCTGCTGTGTTATTAATTTGAGCTACCAATGAAGTTAGAAAGTATGCTGCCCTTTCAGCCGTGTTTGCAAACATGTCCTGGCCTGATATTAGGACACGGGTTTTGGAGATCGAATAGAGTTCTGGTGGCCCGGTATTTGGTGAATATGTCTGGGCACAATTGTATGGCCATGGATCTCTCTTGGCCTGGAGTCTCATCCTTGTCCTTACTCCTGCAGTGCTCCCTCCTCCCCGGTAAGCTCCACTGTTTTCATTCTTCTCCGAGGGTAGTTAGCTTCAGGGAGCCTTAAGAGGTTCTCCCCAGAAAACTAGCATTAAATGTTATGAAATGCCAATCTCTGGGTAAGCCCCACTGGTTCCCCTGATCCTCTCCCTCCATTGCAGGTCACCAGGTGGATGTCTACATTTGCCTTAGAACTGGAAGCTCAGGAGGCATGTTACCTTTACCCTTTCCCCAAATTGAGTGAAGTTGGTGCAAAAGAGCTCTCACTAGTTTCCTAGGGATTTCAGTCCTTTGTTTGCATAGTTAGGGGAGTTGTTTTGACTGGTTTTAAAGCATCAGTCTCCTTTTTAATTAACACTTTCCTGGATTTTCGATTTGGAATTACGGGCGTTTTCCTTAACCGCTTGTCGGATCACGACGTAATTTTACGGTGCGGTTTAAAATATTTGTAAAAAATACAGTTTAAATCCGATTTACTTGGGGTTTGTTGCAAACTCCGCGTCAGGAAATTCCCGTTCTCTCGGGTAGGCCGCAAGTCACGTCGGCCTACTGGGTCATGTGACAGGCCCATTGTTTTGTTGTTACGTGGAGCGATCGGATCTCTCTCCCCTCGGCCGCCAAACTCGCACGTTTTCAAGGATTATTACCCGTTTGTGTGTGTTTATAACCCACTAAATTCATCAATAATGGATCCAGCACCAGGCCCAAGCGGTGTTTCGGCTACAGGAGCCTCAGAATCAAGTGGAAAAGACAGGATTACCGCCATCTATAGGAGGTTTGCTGGTGTGAGGCTCACTCCCACCAGGATTCCCAATGTCTTGGATGCCTTTGATCAAGCTGAAAATGAACGAAGTGATGCAGAAGGCGAGGATGTAGAAGAAGAATTTGAAATTGGGCAGACAAATAAACCATGGCATACAAGATTCTTCAACATGTTTATGACGAGCAGAAGGTTTCAGCACATAGGTCAGTTTTTTCATGCGTTCAACAGCAATGCGGTGCCAGTGGACAATACAGATAAATTGATCAAAGTGAGACCAGTGATGGACTACCTAGGACAACGTTTTCAAGAAGTTTATTACCCAATGAGAGAGTTGTGTTTGGATGAAGGCACAATGGCATGGCGAGGCCGGCTGTTGTTCAAAGTGTACAATCCAAGCAAACCAGACAAATATGGCGTCAAATTTTATATGCTAGCCGAATCAACATCTGGCTACATTTATTCATTTGAGGTTTACTCTGGCATTGGTAGAACATTCATTGAAACAGTTACTAGTTTGATGCGGCCATTGTTGAACAAGGGGCACCACCTCTATATGGATAACTATTACAACTCAGTTACCCTTACAGAGAAGTTGCGAGAAGTGGGGGTGTACACCTGTGGAACAATTAGACTCTTACGTGGCGCCCCAAAAGACTTGCAACAACTTGCGAAGAGTAAGATTGATGTGGATACCACAGTCTACCGCCGCAAGGACAACACCTTCATTCTGCTGTGGCAAGACAAGCGAGTTGTCTCTATGATTACCAACCTACACAATGCAGACACAAAGAAAGTTCAGAAAAGAAAACGAGTTCGCAGGCCAGATGGAATAACAAGACTACAGCAGGTTGTGGTGAACAAACCACAGGCAATTGTTGACTACAATAAGTTCATGAAGGGTGTTGACCACTTTGATCAAATGGTAAAGTATTACCATTTTGCCAGGAAATGTCACAAGTGGACCAAGAAAATAACATTTTATTTCTTGCAAATGGCATTGCAAAACGCTTATGCATTGTACAAGGCCAACACAGATGATCGAAGGAAACTAACTCTGCTCCAGTTCCATGAAGTTGCTATTTGGTCTTTATTGAAATTTGACAAGGCAGAGTGGCCTGCAACAACTACACCATCTCCACATCTAGTTCATGCTCCAGACATAAATGATGACACTGGTCCTGTGTATCCTGCTGCTGACCCGTCAACACCTGGCCCGTCGGGTGTGAGGCGCCCTCTCTTCACGTCTACACCTAGTGCTGAAGCTGAATCTGATGAAGATAATTCATATTCCACATTAGTGTTTGAAAACAATAGTGAGAGCGACGATTCAGACAGTAGTTTATTGCCAACCCAGAGACAACAGCGACGTGTTGTTATTGCAGAGACTCACCGGAACTATAAATTGAAACATGAGCTGGTAAAAATCCCCAAACGTCGCAGGTGTGAAGTGTGTTCAAAGTCGGGTATCAGGAAGGAAACTGGTATAGCGTGCAAGACATGCGATGTTCCACTTTGCGTCATACCTTGTTACACCACTTATCACAGGAAAAGGGTGTATTGGGTGGACAAGAAATAACCACCCGCACCAGCTTCACTCCACCTAGGAACATCTGTTGAGCAACTTCAGGAATCAGTACCTGAAGGAGGTGGAGTGGAGATAAAATGCTTAACTTATTTTACTACAATCGTCTTTGCTTTGGTAAGTACACATAATTGTCTTAGATTGTTTTAGTATTGTAGTCTATTTTCTTAGGAATATTTTGATACCTAAATGAGAACTGTAGCACGACAACTAAAGTAAGTATACACGAAACAAGAGAAACTTTTTTTGTGGGTGTTGCGGGTGTGAGTTGGAGTGTCAAGAGCGGGTTCCGGTTGTGTGTTATCCGTCATTTCTACAGCTGTGAATTCCAAGGAATTGTATTTGATATGCATATGTCTGTGTAGGGAATTTTATTCCGAACACTATACAAAAAAAAAACGGTGTGAAACAAGTATAAACTTGAAAAACATGAGCAAAGTAAAAACTTTTGACGCTCACGGGTACAAACTCGCGTAAGATTTTATTCGCCACAAATTTATTTGATGCTGTGTTGGCCAACTCTACCCATGTTCTTATAGAACTTTCTATTGCGAACACATTGCTATAAAAATGAAATACGTAGCTCCAGAAATAATGTCAGGACAGTGAAATAAGTATAAACATTCAAAGCGCTGCATCACACCAGTGTCGTCGCTGCTGAAATCACGGCTAACGCTTCGCCCAGTTCCCACACTCGTGCGGGTCACCCGATACCATAATTAGACATTGATAGGCATATGTCTGGGTGGGGAATTTTATTGTGAGTTCAGTGATATCAAAATGAGCACTGTAGGATGACTGTGAGGCTGGCAACAAACGAAAGAGTATGAACATTTACTTCCTGTTTGGGTGTCACGGCGAGTCATCTTCGTGTTTATTTACTTCGTGGTGGGATACCAAATGCTTGGGTGACATTTTATGCATATGATCTTGTAGAGAATTTTATTGCCAACGCATTGATACCAAAATATAAAACGTAGCTCGAGAATTGATGTTAGGAGCGTGAAAAGATTATAAACTTTTTTGTGTTTACGCTTGAGCGCCCAGAACGCCGCGCGCACAACCCGCTTTTTTTTTCAGCTAGTGCCGCGCGCACTAAAGTGTTAAGTGAGCAGTAATTTAAATTTGACTCATTATCTTTTTGGTTGCCTTTGCCAGTGAGGTCGTGGTGGATATAAATGTCACTGCTCCCTGTGTCTCTTGTGAGGGGGGCCGGGTTCTTGCTCCTGTCCATGATAGGCCTCAAGAACTATGTAGCAGGTGTAACCCAGAAGATGGTAACCATCTTGGTATATAGCCTCAGGTAGCCACTGGAGCTCACCCCTATAACTGGCATTTCATTATATCAACACTTGCTTTTTCTTTCCAGATGTAAATATGTCATCAGATAAAACGGCTTCAAAATTAAATGACATGAATGAGGCTCGCCAGATCTCAAATGTCCATAATATTGGCGACGCTAATGACAACATCCATCACATTAAGGGTATTATTCATTCGCCAATTGTAGTACCCAAAGAACCTTCACCAGTTGCAGATCCACAAGGATTAACCTCACCAGTTGCAGTTCCACAAGGATTAACCTCACCAGTTGTAGTTCCACAAGGATTAACCTCACCAGTTGTAGTTCCACAAGGATTAACTGCACCAGTTGCAGTTCCACAAGGATTAACTGCACCAGTTGCAGATCCACAAGGATTAACCTCACCAGTTGCAGTTCCACAAGGATTAACCTCACCAGTTGCAGTTCCACAAGGATTAACCTCACCAGTTGTAGTTCCACAAGGATTAACTGCACCAGTTGCAGTTCCACAAGGATTAACTGCACCAGTTGCAGATCCACAAGGATTAACCTCACCAGTTGCAGTTCCACAAGGATTAACCTCACCAGTTGCAGTTCCACAAGGATTAACCTCACCAGTTGCAGTTCCACAAGGATTAACCTCACCAGTTGTAGTTCCACAAGGATTAACTGCACCAGTTGCAGTTCCACAAGGATTAACCTCACCAGTTGCAGTTCCACAAGGATTAACCTCACCAGTTGCAGTTCCACAAGGATTAACCTCACCAGTTGCAGTTCCACAAGGATTAACCTCACCAGTTGCAGTTCCACAAGGATTAACTGCACCAGTTGTAGTTCTCCAAGGACCAAAAGAAATTAATTTAAAAAAATACACTAAAGTCAGTAACATGGAATCTCAAGGTAGTACCTCAGAAACACTGAAGCAGGAAAATGGTAACTCTCAAGAAATAGGACAGAATGACATAAATACTTCCAAAGATGTCTTTGACTTTAATGTAAACCAAAAGGAAATAAATCGATGCAAATTCTTAAATGAAGATAACTATAATGGACAGAATGTTGTTAATGGAAAATTATTTGGTCAATTTAAACATGATTTTCTTTGTGGTAGCAAGTTGAACAGATCTAATTATTCTCCAGATTTTCTTACCCATGGAATAGCAAGTGAAACCAATTGTTCATCAGAAGAAAATGATAGCCCACACCATGGTAATGTTCAAGAGGAAGAATTGGATAGAAAGACTGAAAGTGATGATGATTGCTGTTCGAGTATTCATTCAGAGACGAGTTTAATCAATATTTCAGTGCCAGGAGGACAAGTATCTTCATCAAAACCAGATTATACTAATTGTTTAAAGGATTTACCAACATTACAGGATGCATTGGACAGGCTTACAGCACACAATGATAGACTCTTTACCAACATTAACCAGCCAGACGACATCAATTTACAAGTGTTTGATACCTTCAAGGTAAGAACACCCATTTTATCTCAATTCTATATTATGTGAGGACATGAAAGTTCAATGAAATGGTTGGATTATTATTATTAAATTGATATAAAGTAGTTTAATATGTAGTTGCAGATACATAAGGTAAGTATTACAATCAATGATGTTCTGGAAATTTAAAAGTCAAGATGGTGATGCAGCAGCTGCACCACCAGCACCTAATGGCTGGCTGCCTGCCAGAATAATAATAATAATAATTTATTTATTTATTTATTTATTATTTATATATATACAAGAAGGTACATTGGGATTGTGATGATACATAGTATAGTAATTACATTCTTGTAAAGCCACTAGTACGCACAGCGTTTCGGGCAGATCCTTAATCTAAGAAAATTTTAAGTAGGTAAATACTGGCAAAATTTATAAAAATGATAAGTTACATAGAAAGAAAAAATAAAAGATGAGAGAAAATTGTAGGTATATTAAAGCACATAGGTAGCTCAGAATGATTGCAATGACTTTGAATGGTAGTTTAACAAAAATTAGTAGGCACAACACAGCATATGGCTAGCACATGAAAGAAGACAGCAATGAACACAATGATAAAGTTGTTTGGATTAAGTACATAAAGATTGGGAGATTGGGTAATATTAGATACAGAGCAAATTTAAAGCTCAGTGTAGGAAACTACGAAGATGAAATTAGGTACTTTTTGGTTTTGTTTTTAAATAAGGCAAAAGTTTGACAGCTTTTCAATTCACTAGGGAGTGAGTTCCATAGACTAGGTCCCTTAATTTGCATAGTGCTTACACAGATTAAGTTTGACTCTGGGGATATCAAAGAGATATTTATTTTTGGTGTGGTGATAATGGGTCCTATTACATCTGTCCAGGGAGAGTTTCAGAGCATGGTTTGCATCTAAGAACAGAGTTTTGTAAATGTAGTTGTCACAAGAGAATGTGTGGAGGGAGTTAATATTTAGCAAGCTTAGGGGATTTAAACAAGGGAGCTGAGTGTTGTCTGAAAGCAGAGTTTATTATTATTCTGATAGCAGATTTTTGCTGGGTGATGATGGGCTTAAGGTGGTTTGCAGTGGTAGACCTCCATGCACAGATACTATAATTAAAATAGGGGTAGATTAGTGCATAATATAGTGAGAGGAGAGCAGAGTTAGAAACATTATATCTTATTTTGGAGAGTATACCAACTGTCTTAGAGACTTTCTTAGTTATGTGTTGACTGTGGGTGCTGAAGTTGAGTCTCTTGTCTTGGAATAGGCCAAGAAACTTGCCATCATTTTTATTACTGATGTTAATGTTGTCTATCTGTAGCTGAATTGCATTCAATGAGTTGCTTCCAAATAAGATGTAGTAGGTCTTTTCTATGTTTAGTGTTAGTTTGTTAGGTGATATCCATAAGTGGACTTTTTTTTTTAATTCATTATTCACATTATTATTTTGTGAATATAATAATACTGTAATAATACCAGTAATAATATAGGTATATGCTATCTGAGGCCTAATATAATAATTTAATAATAATTATATATAAATATAGTACATATATGAGCTATATTAGGCCGAGGAATATTTGTCTGGTTTTGGCTTTATTTTTCCGAACTTTATAGTGTGATTAGTACCAAATTCTATCGAATTGCCCATTACATCAATATATATGTACGATGGTTCACATAGTTACAAAAAACCAGCGTTGAATGTAATGAAATGCCATTTTCGGGGTGAGACCCAGAGGCTCCCCGGAGCTATCCAGGCTGATATGCTAATGTCAGACTTTGGCATCAGTCATGTGTATGGAGTTCTTTGGGCCTAATTGGGACCATGGACAGAACCTGGTCCTCTGAGAGGCAAGGGGGAGCAATGGCCTATAGAAGCCCCTGTGTGGTTGGAAGCATTCTGTCTGCCATCGACTGAGTCAGGTACCCAGAAAGGTAAGCATCCCAAAACAAACCCCTATTCTGCTGAAAATATTGCTACCAAAAGCCGAACAAGTGGATAGAACTTCCCAAACAAAAACGAGCAAACTAGTATGACGTCACCCATTGCCGCACCGCCGTCTGCGCACCCTGGGAGGAAGGGGGAGCCCCACATCTACCGTATTGGCGATCCACACCCCAGTTCTGAGGCTGGATGTCAAAACACACGAAAAACCGCTTACCGGAGGGAGGGAGGGATGCCGGGAAGCCTCTGGGTCTCGCCCAGAAAATGGCGTTTCATTACATTAAAAGCTGGTTTTCTGGGGGGAGCCCCTACGGCTCTCTGGAGCTATCTACCCACAGAGGAAAAAAGAAGGACTTATCCAGGTGGTGGTTGCCACTCACTCCTCATCCTGAAGCCGAAACAACTGGCTACATCTGCCGACCCAAAGCGACAGAGGCCCGACTGGGCCCAGGGACGTTAACAAGGTGACGAGCAGCCAGGACCCTCTTCGACCGCCAAAATCCCTGCCCCCGAATGTCAGCCTAAGACATATTGCCAAAGATGGCGGCAAGAGCCGCAAACTTGTGAACATCATGGGCACGGGGATAGACCGCAGGCTGGCTAGCCTTAATTACCCTGCGGACGGCCTTGGAAACCCACACCAATGAACAGGGAAGAAGGGAAACCGGATCAACCCAAAGTGCGTCCACGGACACAGAAGCCGTGGCGCGCAAATAACGGCGGAGAGCCGCAACCAGACACAAAACATGATGCACCCCCGGCCTAACCAACCATGCATCAACAACCCAGGGACCCCTCCCAAAAGCAGCAGTCTCATTCTTCGCCAGAAAAGGAGGAGAAGGCTGCAGACGAACAAACCGATTACCCCAACTGAAAGAGCAGAAACCCCTGCGCCGGAGGAGAGCATGAAGCTCAGCAACCCGACCCCCAGAGGCTAATGCCAACAGGAAAAGAGCCTTCGAAAAACAATCCGGAACCGAACGGGCCACAATAAACCTAGGAGAAGAAAGAAAAGAGAGCAGCCTGTCCAAAGACCAGGACGCCTCAGGCGGTTCATGAGCAGGCTGTAGGTGAAACAACGCCCGAGACAGCTTGCGAAATGGCGCAGACATAACATGAATACCGTAAGCAAGCTAAAGCGGCTCCACCAGCGCCGCACGATATGAGGCGACTGTGTTAGGCATAAGGAGACTGTCCTGGAACAACCAAGAGAGAAAGGACACTACCACCCTAACCGAAAGCAAAGTACAACGTCGAAGACGTAAGAAGAACCGCCAAGAAACCTCATACTGCAGAAAAGACGAAGCCCACAGGTGGGACACTAACAAGGAAGTCACCTGATCACCATAGAGATGATGATAAACTCAAGTCAAAAATACCTTACACGAAGACACGAGGAGAAGATCGAACCAGCCACGTGATGCACCAGTCCAATCTGCTGGAAGAGGTGGAGCTGCAAGAAAACCTCCGGGTTCGGAGACCGGGCAGGAGCTGAACCTGGGACAGCGTAGTCATCCGAAAGGAGGGGCAATGAACCCAGGGGGTTCAGACTGGACAAGTCCAGAATGAACCGCAGGTCCTCGCAGTCTCATTTTGGAACCAGAAACAGATGGGAAACCCATCTGAAGGACGTCGTCGTTTCAACCACGCCCAAGCGAACCCACTCCATGACAACCTGACAGAACGCAGGAGACGACGCCAGCCCCATCAGCCCTGAACCCTCTGAAGGGGAAGGGGCCCACCCAATGCCACCGGAGGCCGCGCAAAACGACCCGAAACGCCTACGAATCGTGGGACCAGGCGTGAGTGAACAGCGCAAGCCTCCTCCCCTCCCCCCCTATCGCCCTGTCAATGGGGCGATGGGCCGGCGCCCCTTACGAGACCCAGAACCCTGCACAGAGCGAACACCGCGCCAACCAGACAAAGGCGGGTCCGAAGGAGCCAAAGCCGAACCCGACACCAGTGGCCTACCATGACGAGAGGAACCCCCGAGCTTTGGCACGACCCTTCCGGGAAGGCCCACCATTGGGCCCCCGGAGAACCAGCAAGTCCGACATACGACGTCCCCCCCCCCCCCCCCCCAAGCACCGACCCCACCAGACAAGGCCGGCGCAGCCATAGAAGCCGGACAGAAAGGGGCCCACTGGTCAGACCCTGAGGCTTTGGCTGGGGGACTAGACTTGAATGCCTCCATCGCCACACCAGAAGGGGGATCCCCCGAGGCTGCCCAAGTCTCAAGACCAACTAACCCCCGTCATGACTCCGAAACCCTCAGACGTTTTGGGGCCGGAAGCAGGGGAGGGGGACCAGAATAAACAACAGGAGGGGAAGGACGAGGTGGTGCGGACTGAACCAGGGTCGAGGCGTCCCCCACCCCCAAGTCCGGGTCCCTATAAGCAAAACAGCTCAGCCACAGGGGTACCGAGTGAGTAACCAACTGAGCATGTTGCAACAAATGAAACGTAGAATGTAACGCCTGCGCAGCCTGTTGCCAAAGATGATCAACCACAGATTGGGTAAATTGAGTCACCAGCAAGCAACAAAACTCACAGGACTCTGAGTTGAAAGTGTCAAAACCCATCAGGCAGCATGACGGAGGCAAAAATCGTGAGGGGTCGCCCCAAGACAAGGGTACCGAACTAACCTCAAACTCGCATGAAGCGAGTGGGGAATTCCGGGGTCGCATCCATCGGACCCATGCTTTCCCTAGGCGATTCCCAGGGTCTTGAGCGTTTACTATAAGAGTACTCGCGCTCGGGTAAACCCAGGCAGGGTACTGCTAACCAGAGCCCAAAAATACCAACAAACTGTCTACAGATCCCAGGGACAAGTATGCTCATGGGGACCTAACAGGAAGCACCACCAAGTAACGGGATGTGGCCAAACACCAGTGGCAAGTAGGGCAGAACCTTCCCCACCAAAGCAAAAAGAAAAAGAAAACGCAGCTTCCCCCTCCCAGGGAGGGGGAGCTGCGCAGACGGCGGCGCGGCAATGGGTGACATCACACTAGTTTGCTCGTTTTTGTTTGGGGAGTTATATACTGTAACCCCGCGATTATCC